AAATAAAATCTTTTATATTTTATAATGATTTTCTTTTATAGATAAATGATGATAAGAATATTTCATTTATTCATAATCATAGAAAATTATTTAATTTATGTGGTGTTTGTAATGATAAAGCAACAGGTATACATTATGGTCTTGCAACATGTGAAGGTTGTAAAGGTAATTATTCATAAGTTTTTTTTTTGTTTTTTCTATTTGATCATTAACAATAGAAACAAACAATATATTTTTCTTTTTAAAAAGGTTTTTTTAAACGTACAGTACAAAATAAACGAAAATATCGTTGTAATGGTAATGGTTCATGTATTATTGATAAATCTCAACGTAATCGTTGTCAATATTGTCGTTTTCGAAAATGTCTTATGAAAGGTATGGTTATTGCAGCTGTTCGATATGATCGAACACCCGGTGGTCGAACACCAGCTAATGTTATGCAATTATATAAAGTAAGTCTTTTATACTTTTTTTTATTTTTTGTTGAATTATAATATTTTACAATCATAAAAAAAATCGTGTCTAGAAAAGTAGAATTAAGAAATGTCGAACATTCTTTTTAACTTTATATGTTGTGATATATATATATATAACAATTAATTTCATTTCTATTTGAAACAATGTTTCTAAGATATTCTTCTTTGTAATAAAAGCACATCCGTCGTGTTCATAGTGTTAATCCAAGTCGGAATTCTGCTCAAGAGCTTTTTCAATATGAAAAAAAATAGATGTCTTTGATTTATCAAAGTCAGACATTACAATCATTTCTTTAGGAAGTTTATTTTTAGAGATTTTAATCGAACGAAATATATCATGTTAATCTAAAAATAAGCAAATGCTAATTTTTTGAAACTATTCAATCATATATCTAGATGAAAGAGAATTCATATGAACAAAAAAAAAAATTTTTTTTTAATTTATTTTAGTACAAAAATGAAACAAATCAACAAATAAATATAAATAATAAATTTAATAAATTATTTGATTTAAATTTATTTCAATATTTTGATCAATTATCAACATTAGATATATTATTTGATCATTTACGTCCATTATTATTACATGAAATATTCTTAACACAAGAAATAATAAAAAAACTTTCATATTTATTAATTAATACATTTATTAATTGGTATCATACATTACCATTTTATTCAATAATTAATATTGATTTAAATCAATTTATAATTAATAATCAATATTCAAATTATATTATATTACTTATTTTTTATTTTTTAAAAATACATTATAATCATATAAATTTAATATCATATTCTAAATGTCTTCAACGTTTATTTAATTATACAGAAAATAAACTTTTATCATCATTATCATATCGATTATTTAATCAATTATTTTATTTTTTAACAACATTTTTTAATATACAAATAACAAATACAGAATTTATTTTATTAAGTATTTTACTTATTCTTCGTTCAAGTAAATATAATAAAAGAAAAAAAAAATTTTTTGTTTTTTTGTGAGAATTTAAATTTTTTGTTTTTTTGTTGAATTAGATCAAACAAATAAAATTAATTTAAATTCATTTGAAAATATTTATGAAATTTTATATACATATGAAATTAATATATTCTCATCGGAACAACCTGATCGTTTTAATCGATTATTATATTTTTTTGAACAAATTCAATTAATAACACAAATACTTCTTATAAATCAACATTTTCATTTACCATTCTTACTTTTTCCTAACTAATATTAAACATTTACATATATATTAATCTTGTAATTTAGTGTATAAAAATAAATAAAACAAATATCGATAAGATTATTTTTATTTTCGATAATCTTTAGAAACAATGGATATACTCAGACATAATATAAAGTTCTTGAGTAGACTAAGTACTTTTCTAACGTAGATAGTCGACCTTTATTTGTTTGCATGTCATGTAGCATCCGTCGGCAGGTCACTAGGGACTATAGAAGGTTTTATTTCAAATATTTAGTCAATCAAAATGTGTTACGAAAAAACAACTTTAATCAATACATGAAATAATAGAGATTAAGACAATCTGTCATGCACTTTCTGAATTAATGTTTTATCTAACATGATAGTTTAGTGTTCTAAAAGAGAACATCTGGATAAAACTTTGTTGTAAATATAATTTAGTAGAGAATATTTGCATTACATCAAAAAACCTACTAACTTTTGGATATTATAACGAATAACAATTAATATTTAAACATAGGAAGTATAGTTGAATATTTCTAGGAAATGTTTTTTTTTTTTTTGTTCAATCGGATCCATATTGTTAGATACAGTATTTGATATGTGTATTTACTGTGAATTAGTCTACAAATACTCGAAAGAATTTTTGAGATTATTTTTATTCTGATCTCATGCTCTTTATTTCTTTTTTTATGTCCTAGTGTAAAAGAGCATGAAAGTTTACACCAATCTGTATATTAGTTATATTTATCGCTTGGTGATTTCATTGTTCTTTAGCACAGGGTTAATGTGACTTGAACTTTGTGCTTTTATCATAATTATTCTTTTTATAGATCTAACTCTAAAATCATGCGAAATTCAATTTGAACTGATTTTTTTTTCATATCATTCGCATTGATTTAGCATTTTTTTTTACTAAACTTTAATCTTTGTTCTTTTCAGTGTATCAACCTGATATGTTGAGTCATTAGTGAAATCTACGCCTAATGACAAAGGACTTACGAAAGATTGTAAAAAAAAAAAAATTTTGATAATCCCGAAGATCTCTTACAGCTAGCCGATGACAAGTAATAGAAATGAATGACGTCTTTCGATATATAGAAAAAGTAACACCTTGAAAACATTAGAAGATCCTATCTGAAAAACAATATTTATTCAAGTAATTACTGGAGTTTAGAGATTATTTTAAATACTGATGTCTATATTCATATTGAAGTTCACTAGGTACAATATTTTGCTTCCATCTTCTTAGCGAGTTGTCTATCTCAAATTGAAAAAATCACGATAAACAGTTAATAGAAAAGAACAATTTATTAAAAACTACGTTTTTATAAATAAAAAAACATGTTGTATGGTCTCTTCAATGTTCTTTTGCAGCATAGTTTAAAGAAATATTTCATGTTTTTCATACTAAAAAAGAAAAAATTGTTCTCATGGCCTTAGGATCTCAATTATTTAGTGTGCATTCACATGAATCATATATGTAAAAAGATCCTTCTAAAAGTAGAACATATTTAATAAAATTCTATTGTTTAACAATGAAAAGACTTTTGCGCCTTCGCATTTTTTTTAGAATTTCAGACAAATTTTTATTACAAAAGCGCTTATTCATAATTGAGGTAAATAATCTTCTGATACATACCAGAGATGGACAAAGTCGCACCGCACCTCCCCGCGCCGTTGCTCACGCCTACGCTACACTAGTCTGAGCTTCGATGAGCGCATGCTTAGAGCATCCCGGTATTCGGTGGAGTTTGAGAAACTGATTGGTAGAGCAAAGAGAAAGAGAGATGTGCGTAGCGCCTAGGCGCGAGCAGTGGCGCGGGGAAGCACGGGGAGGCGCGGTGCGATTTTGTCCATCTCTGATACATACACTCAGATATGTTTCATGAATTTAAGAAATATATTTAACTTTCTTCATAGATAACCGTAGTTATTCAAATTAGATAAAGACTGATATCCATCTGAATAGTATATTTCATTAGAAACGAATTTTGTGTATATGAGGTCAAATCTTTACATTAGTAACTAATTTAAATAGATTTCATACAACAAAAAAAGAAATTGAATTTTCTTTCGCTTAGTTATTTAGCGATATAGAAAGTTAACTTTTAACAATGATAGATTGTATTCTCTAGAAAAAATTATGTCATTGCACAAATATTATTTTACGGGCAATCAGACTTAATTTTTCTTTGAAGAATAAACAGGTCAAGAAATTGATCGTATCAATACTTGTCTTTCTTTCTTTAGGTTATCAACACATATATTCATCGCTTCATATAAAAAATACATTATCGTTCCTTGTGAAGATACAAATGAATACAACCTGTAAAGACTGATAGATTATACTTAATCTTTATTATAAAATATTCGATTAGAAGAAACTATTTACGAGATATTTAACTTATATTAAGATTATTGATATTGAAATAACTTTTTTAATCACTTATTCAAGTTTTTACTTCAATTTTGAATAGTTTTTTTTTGTTTTTTGAATTAATATGAATTATTTTCATTGAACTTTAGTATTAAAACTATAATTATCTTTTATGTTCTCAAATTTTTACACCAAACAAAAGATAATTTAATATTTTATGAATAAGAAAAAACGAAATACTTCGACATACAGAAAAATCACATATAATTTATTAATTCAATAAAAAGATTTTCAAATTCATACGATCCGATGAAAAGGATTATTTTTCTCATATATAAATTAATATGATTATTATTGTATCGAGTGTGTCCTTTTCACAAGTAAATATTATAAATGTTCATAGATCATAGAAAAAAGATTAATTTTGATTTCATATAGATAAGAAATATTTGAACAAATTATTAAGTTTGTAGTAGATAATAGCTCGAAAAAAATAATAAATGTCTTTTACTACCTTTGTCATAAGATAACAAACTTTTAGATTATTTCAAAGTACATATCAAAAAACTAATATGAGAACATTATCAGCTGTTAATATTTTTCATGTAAAAATCTCTTCATAACTTAAAAAAAAAAAAACAAAATTCTTTATTATTTTTTCATACCTGGAATATATCATTACCTTATTAGAAAAATAATATTAATCAAGTCATAAAATGTTCTTTATTAGTGCTTTTTTTTTTTTGAAAAAATAACGATGAAACATATTCGGAGGGAACAAAAAGAAACAACAAGATATCGATGTTCATACACAACAACAAAAGAAAACACAATATGTTTGATTTATCAACTTAATAAATAATCACGAAAGAAAAAAAAAATTTTTTTTTTTTTTTTTTTTTTTTCTTGATACTGTTTTATATATTTTTTTTACCATTCTTTTTTTCTTGCATCCATTGATACTCCACCAGGACCAAGTGCAACAACATATAAAAGACCACCAATAACCGACATTGTTTGAAAAAAATCATATTTTAAAAAATCTTGTAAACCACGAATATTACGTGCACTCCAAAAATTATTTGTATATACATTAGCAATTGATAAAAATATAACAAGAAATAATGCTGATAATTTTGTTTTAAAACCAATTGCAACACATAATATACAAATACCACCAATTATATTTTTGATTATTGAAAAAAATGTAAATTCAAAACGAACTATAGTTAAAAACATAATAACAAGTAATATACGACCAGCTAATTGCATATAATTTTTTGGTGCATTATTATGTATTGTTGGTACACCAGCAAATAAACTACGAGCTTCTTTACGATTTTCAACCATTAATAACATTAAACCACCAACAAGAGATAATGACCTGAAGAAGAAAAAAAACATCGATTTTTTTGGTTTATTTTATTTAAATAAACGATTATCGTATTAATTTTTTGTTTGAAATAATCAAAAAGTAACTCGACATATTTATTTATGTTAATTTTAATAAATATTCTCTAAATTTTATCAATCAATCGTTTGAAAATCGTAGGACAAAAGAAAAAGAATATAATCTTCTATTTATAATTATATTACCTAAGCAAAAAACGTAGTTCCCATATAACTTGATATGCCATGGCCTATAAAAATAAATTACAAATAATTTTTTATTGAATAAACATAACATATCATTAGTAAATTCTATCTATATATTAGAAATAGCAAAGTTTTTTTTTTTTTTTTCATGAAATATTCTTATAATCTATTTCTATTAGAGAAAAACTTACTTGAAATGCAATTATAAAAAAAAGTATTCCACATGCAATATCAGTTTTTTTTCTTATTAAAATCATTCCACATGGTATTAATTGACCAAACATATTTATTATAACAAAAAGTGTACCAATAAACCATCCAACATGCCATGTATTTTTAATATAATCTCTTTGTTGACCCCATTGCATCCACATACGCATACCATCTTCAATAAATGTTGATATTAAACATAAACGAGCTAAATGTGGTAATATATATTTCGTTCGTTGAAGAAACTATAACGAAAAAAGAATAATAATAATAATAAACAAAACTTCTTACAATATCAGTATAATCTTCTGCATGAACCAACCATTCTTGACGTTTTTTAGGTGTAACAAAATTCATGATAATCTAGTTTTCTATAAAAATCAATAAATGATGATAATATATGTTTCTCCCTTGTAACGTGTTTTTCCCAGGGATTGGCTATTTTTATCTTTATCATTGATTCATAAGAATAATTTTTCTTTTCGAAATATTTTTAAATATAATTCTTTACTTTTTTTTGATTTTTTATTTATATAAATTAAAGTTAATAAACAAATCTTAAAAGCTTTAATAAAAAAAAATCTATTAGCAATAGGTGTCGACACATTTATTTCATAATCCATAGTTTGCATATGGAACTGGTTATAATAAGTTAAAAATCAATTTGATAGAAAAATACTATTCAAAAAATGGGTGATGATGGAAGACATTATCAAGAATTTCGAGCACGACGTGTTGATGGTACAAGTCCTGATGGTAATATATATTAAAATATCGTTTTTTTTCTCAAATTTTTATTTTAATAAATATTTTTAATAAGGTTTGGAAGATGCTGCTGCACAAAGTCGTCTTACACATGATCGAATGTCAGCAGAAGAATCTCGTTTATTTCCAGAAATTTGTAAAGGTGATATCAAACGACATAAAGCATTTTTAATTATTCGTAATAATATTGTAAGAAAAATTCTTATTTTTAAATAATTTGATATATATATATATAACTCATTGTTTATGGATAACCTGCAGATAAAATTAAAATTCTTTATTATTTGATAAAGAATTGGATAGTATATGAATATTAAAACTTATCAGAAGAGATCTTGTCAAAGTTGAACACAACTTTTGAAATGATGTTCACTGTTTTTTTTTAGATAGATCCTGTTGGAATTAGAGAAAGAATCTAAACAGATTCTTACTCATAGGTCTATCTTCTTTAGATTATCTTTAATATTAAATTTTCCGTGTAAATTTAGCATATATTAAGTTCAGTTTGTTTGTTTTTTTCTCTCACCATGAGCAAATCAATTGTGAAGGTCATCTAAAGAATAATCATAGTATTTTATTGAGAATCTACTAAAATATTCGTAAGTGCAGAAAAAAAAAGACCAATGATGACGAATTCTTTCTGACTTTGTCTATTTCAATTATGAACTTTTTCGACCTTATGAAAATGGTTGAAGTCATAACTTTATCCAACATTGAGATATAAGAAAACAAATAGTCTGACTTCTACTTTGAACTACAAATCTGAAGTACATATCAAAATTATAGCTTACGAGGGAACATTCCCAGATGTTGGAACGCTTTTGAGTCGGGACTTTGCGCATCTTGTAGGCCTTGATGAATTATGTCTACCGTAAAAAAAGTTCGTGCCCCTAGCTTGTTCCTAGTGAGATATCGAGATTTTAGGGAATTTTTCCTACAAGACCCCACATTTGTAGCAAGGCCATATTTTTTAATTTTGATCTGAAACTTTGTCCACATAAACATGTCAGCTAGACTAGTTTGCACAAAAATTTTCAGAACTTTTGGACAAAGTCTCTCCGAGATATGAAGCTCTCAACGTATAGGCCATTTTCCATAGATAGCGTATAAAGCATGCATTTTTTGAAAGTTTCATATCTCGGAGAGACTTTGTCCAAAAGTTCTGAAAATTTTTATGCAAACTAGTCTAGCTGAGATGTTTATGTGGACAAAGTTTCAGATCAAAATTAAAAAATATGGCCGTGCTACAAATGTGGGGTCTTATAGGAAAAATTCACTAAAACCTCGATATCTCACCAGGAACAAGCTAGGGGCACGAACTTTTTTTACCGTAGACATAATTCATCAAGGCCTACAAGATGCGCAAAGTCCCGACTCAAAAGCTTTCCAACACCTGGGAATGTTCCCTTGTTAGATAACATCAGACAAAAAGACGTTCGAAGTTATTCTCTTTCGATTGCTGAAAAACGCAAGTTACTATTGATTGTATTATTGAGAGCTTACACTCACTTCTCTTTAATTCTATTGTAGAAAACTATTCCAGAACCTTTGTTCATTTTACATATAAAACAATACGTTAATACTCTTTTTTTTGAATTATGTTCTGATTGATATGATTTATAAGACAAGCCGTTTGAAACTATAGAATATTTAACTATAATCTTTTGTTTCGATTAAGTCAATTTAAATAAGGAAAAGAGGGAAGATTGCCACTGCCTTGGAGTATCAAGGACCTGATACAGAATCTTTGAGCTTCCTTGCACATATTAGCCTTAAGAGTTGATATAAGTAATCTTGTTGAAGTTTTTAAAATTGATTAGATATTTTTAATTCTAGCTTCGAATGTGGTTTGATGAACCTCGTATTCAATTAACATTCGAAAAAGTCATGGAAAAATTGAATCAAATTGAACCACAATATGCTATCGGTAATAAAAATTGTTTGTTTATTCATATATATATGTATCTTTTTTAGATGAACGAATACTTGCTGGAAAAATTTTTCTCTATCTTGAACGTTATGGTTATATTAATTTTGGAGTTTTTAAACGATTAACAACTCCACTTGGAAGTAAATATTTCAAAAACAAAAAAAAAAACTGTATTTTTATTTTTTTTTAGCTAAAAAAGATAAACCACGAATTATTGTTATTGGTGCTGGTATTGCCGGAATAATTGCAGCACGACAATTACAATATTTTGGATTTGAAACAATTATTCTTGAAGGACGCGTATGACTTTTATTTTTCGAATAATACAACAACAAAAAAGAAATTGATTTAGAGTCGAGTTGGTGGTCGAATAGCAACATTTCGTAAAAATGGTTTTATAGCTGATCTTGGTGCTATGGTAGTCACTGGATTAGGTATATTTTTTTATTTATATTTTCAATTAAATAAAATAAATTTTATAGGTGGTAATCCAGTATCTGTATTACAAGCACAAACAAATTTAGATCTTGTACCAGTTAAACATAAATGTCCAATGTATGAATGTTCACAGAATGTGGTATGAAATGATTTTGTTGTTTTTTTTGTCGTTGTAATTTGTATTTAATAGAAAAGTAACATTCTTATTTCAGTTAGCAAATTCATTTTTAAAATCATTTGAATTAATTAATTATCGACGTCGATATCTTCGGGTTAAAATTGAATCGTTATTTCAAGCTTCTTTTGTTTTTTTTTTTTATTTGTTTTGCTTTTTGTTGAGAAAATTTGATAAGAAAATAAAAAAATTAATAATAAGTATGTTTATGATTTTATTTTTTTTTTGTTCTAGGTACCAAAAGCAAAAGATGAAGTTGTTGAACGAGAATTTAATCGTTTACTTGAAGCATGTTCTTATGTAGCTCAAACACTTGATGAAAATATTGAAGAAAAAAAACAACCATATTCATTAGGGGATATTCTTGAACAATTAATTCGTGCACAAGAAAAATCTGTAAGAGAAAAATATTTACAACATTTACGTGAAATATCAAAAATGAAAGAATCACTTCGATCAATTTTAACACAAGTAATAATGTTTTTTTTTAACTTTTTAATAATATTTAATTAATTATTTTTTAGATGTGTGATGTTCGAACAAAATGTGTTCGATTACATAAAGAATATTCGGAAGTTTTACAAGTACCCGATAATGCAAATGTACTTGAAGAATTTGTTATACGTGATGTGGCTAAAAATTTAGTTGTAGCTACTGAGGTATCTTTTATAATAATGTACTCTTGAGACTAGATTTATTGAAATGAAAGCAAGAAAAGCAAATCTAATGATTCTAACAATATCTTTAAAATTTCAGTTAAAACAACTTTTTTGTTTTTTTTACTCAAAGAATCTTGAGAAACAGTGAATCATTTCGTGTAGTTTCCACATATAATAAGAAAATATCTTATCAAGGCTAATCCGATAAAAAAAAAAAATCAAATTTTTTTTAATACTATAGGAATATGCACGTCTTGAAGCACAAGCTGGACAATTAAAAGAACGAATTCGTCTAGCTGAAGATAATCCACCTCCGTATGTGTTTAAATTTCAATATAAAATGTTTTTTTGAATATTATCATTTATTTATATCTAGTCGTCTCTATCTAAGTGTTGCTGATCGTCGTATCCTTGATTGGCATATGGCTAATTTAGAATTTGCTAATGCAGCACCATTAAATTGTTTATCATTGAAATATTGGGATCAAGGTAAAAATTTATATATAGTTTAATAAATATAGATTATTCATTTTTTTTCCTTTTTCTTTATTCAGATGATGAATATGAATTTACTGGTTGTCATCTAACTGGTAAATGAATTGACATATTGTAATAATAAAATTATTTTTGTTTTATATAGTACGTAATGGCTACTCTATTTTACCTTTGGCTCTTTGTGAAAATCAAAATGTACGACTTAAACGAATAGTTAAAAAAATTTCTTATAATAAAACAGGTATGTTATGTCAAAATGAACTGTAAAAGAGTATGTTCTCTTACGATGAGATGATTCCAAGTATAATTCAACAATCGAACTGATATTTTTTTTTTGCGTCATTACCTAGAAGATTACATCTTCCTATGAGGTTCATCTTAAACTATTACAATTTTATTTGGTAGTTCAATTGTGTCATACAGATACCTTGCTAGAGATAAAAATTAGGTAACATTGACAAAATATCAGTCTGATTGGCAAGTCACGCTTGACAACGTTTACTCACTAAATTTTTCTTCTTGAGTTATAGTTATGCTACTGCGAAGAACACCTATCATAAGGAATATACGTCTGAAATGTTTCTTAATAACAGTTGCCACGAGTTTTTTTTTTCTGTAGGTGTTGAAGTAAGTGTTGAAAATGGTGAAGATTCAAAAAATGAAATGATTGAAACATATCGTGCTGAAGCAGTACTTGTTACTGTACCATTAGGTGTATTAAAAGAAAATGTTATTATATTTGATCCACCATTACCTGAAGATAAACAATCAGCAATTGATCGAGTTGGTTTTGGAAATTTGAATAAAGTAAAAAAAAAAAATTCTTTCTTTATTTTTCATTTTTATTTATTATAAATAATAATTTAGGTTGTTTTATGTTTTGATAAAATATTTTGGGATGCAAATCATACATTATTTGCTCATGTTAATGCTTCAACATCATCACGTGGAGAATTATTTCTTTTCTGGTGTTTTACTAAACCACCTGTACTCATTGCTTTAGTAGCTGGTGATGCTGCTAATGTTGTTGAATGTGCAACAGATGATGTTATTATTGGTCGTACACTTGTCGTTTTAAGAAATATTTTCGGTTCAGTTACTGTTCCTTCAGTAAGATATATTGATTTCTTTTTTAATGAGATTAGAAAGTAATAATCGAATATCTCTCTAACCATACAAGAGATCATCCACACCGAAAATGCATAAATCAAAAGTTGATGTCCTTTTTCATGTTAGGCTTTTATTGATAACTCATCGAAATAAATATCTTCAGTACTGTTTTTTTAGAAACGTTCCTTATCTCGAGATACAAATGTGTTAGTTTCGTAAAATCATGTCGCTAATAAATAATTTGATGTTATATATTTCAAACATTATTTCTTGTTCATTCTAGCCAAAAGAATCTTTAGTCACTCGATGGAAATCAGATCCATTTGCACGTGGTTCTTATTCATATGTTGCTGTTGGTGCTTCAGGTTATTTAATTTTTTTTCTAACAAAAAAAAAAAGTAATACTGAATAGAATTTTGTTTTATTTATTTTTAAGGAGATGATTATGATACATTAGCTCGTCCAGTTGAATGTCCTGGTGATAAAATTTCACGTGTTTATTTTGGTGGTGAACATACAAATCGAAATTATCCAGCAACAGTCCATGGTTCATTATTAAGTGGTTTACGTGAAGCTCGACGTATAGCTGATGCTTTTCTTGGTTCGATATATGAAATTTCGGCACCCTAAATCTTTCTGTCTTCTCTTTTTTTGTTCTCTTTAATGAAAAATTACCACTTCTATGTTGTACATTAAATGTTACTAAAGACAAAATATAATATCATATCAGATAATTTTTCGTTTTGTTGAGTAAATAGTCGCTGATAAACGTTTCGTATTTGTAAGTCGAACCTTCCTCCGTTGTAGAACTATTCGAAGATTATGTTTGATATAAAATTGCTTGTTGTTCTTTTGGTTTCATTTTTGATATATGAACAAATTTACTAATGAAAAGTTACATAAAAAAATATACTAGAAAGGATACAATAAAAAATTTATGGCAGGAAGAAGAGAATATACTATAATGTGTTAAGGACAGAAACAAAAAGTGTTCTATATAGAAAAACTAGTTCAAGATATCGATATGCAACTTATAGAATTATTAATAGTGTTCCATTTTCTCAAGTAAAAAACAAAAATATTAAAGTAAAATTATATAACATGTTTTGTTAAGCAGTTATATACTTAAAAAAAGGAAAGAAAAGAAGCACAAATAGCTGAGACAAGACGCGGATTTGTTGTCTATGATGCAGCTGTCTTTTATTTGTTAGTTATACCCACACTCACCCTGAACGACCGATTATTTAAAGATCCGTAAATGTTCACCAACTAGATTTTTGAGAAACCTAAGTAACTAGAATGTGAGTGTGAGTGCTGGTGTGGGTGTGAATCTTTCACATGTTAGTAACATCCACATTCACACTCCACCCACCACCCACATCAGCCCACACCCATTACCCATATCCATCCAGCCAAACCCACACTCAACCAACATCCACACCCCAAATCAAAAGAAAGAGAAAAATATAAGCAATCTATAAAAGTGATGAAGCATTGAAATTTATAGGAGTTTATGATAATTATTCAACAGAATATCGCACAAGTCCATTATAGCTTGTATTTTGATCATATTTCGCATAGATAGTTACATCTTTTGACCCAACTTTTATCTCTGTTCTTAAAACGGGGTCTTTATATCCTTTTGCCTTCATCCACTGAGAATCAACTTGTAAATCTACATCATCTGCTCCAGGAATAACACAATGAATTGGTAAAATAGCGTCTCTTTTAAGTGTACCATGAAGTGGTTCATAAATTCGACATTTATTGGTTTGAAATTTAGCGTATGTTAGGGGAAATTTAATTGTTTTTCGAAGTTTTGTGACGTTGAGATCGAACTCCGCAACTGCATTGAACGATGTTTGAGAATCAGATTGACGTCGAGCATAAATTATGAGTTTGTGAAGACCTGTACATTGAGGTGCAAACAAAAGTTGCCACTGTTGTTTGTCATTATCAAACTGCGCTAATGCACAATTTTCGTTTTTACTGCCATTAAATTCGATGTCACATGAAAGTTCAACATTATTGGGTGCTGACATACGAATTTCAGTGTAAGATGCATTTTCAGGCCACACAGCAGTTGCACGATTTCGTGGTGCTTCTATTTTAAGACCAAGCTCATAGAAAGGCGACCACGTAATTGGATAAGATAACGGTGGTGTTGGAATATTTCGAGCGTCGATTTTAAAGGATACAGCAGATTCGTAGAGTCCTGTATCTGATTTTTTCTTAGCCATAATTTCAGCAT